TAATTCCTTTCTTAATCTCAGTGATATATGGTTGGTGGAAAACAAGTTGAATGAGTGCAAAAACCATTGAAAATGTACTGAATTTCCATTTTGTCTATCATATATGTATACTATTATAATTTGCGTTTTGTGCAAAATAAACACCTGATTTTCTAACGAATTTTTGTCCGAGGTTGAACATTTATGACTATGATAGGGCCAATATTCGAGCAATTAAAGCCTAAATTATCACTATTCATGTGGGCTGTTCTTTTGTCATTAATTCCCTTCTAGTTCTCAATTCACTTTTCTTGATTTTGATGAAATTGTCAAAATACCAAATAAGTGGCCTAAAATAATGAATTTACATGTTATCACATCACATCTATTTCGCAATGATCTAAGCTACTATTCCAACGAAAATTTGCGGAATTCGACAATAAAGTAAAATATAATAGTTACTTATATCAAAATGAAAGTGATATCCAAATGAAACTCATTAATCATGAGAATAAAAATATAAAAATACTAATTTCGTGTAAAGTGTCATTTAGTGCTCCCTGAACAGTTTCGAACCCATCGTGTCGGGAACCTAGCAAGTACCTAAGACCACTAGGCCATCTTGACCAAGCCCTTATTGTTAAAGAATCTATTCAATTTTTACATTTCCTAATAATCCTGTACAAAAATCAAAAAGTTATACTATGCTACGGACCTGGCGTGAATTGAACTCAGGACGATAGCATTGTGAGCGAGTAAGTTGCCACAAAGCTATCTTGAACAGACATATGAGACACAGAAATTTCTTGTATTTTGAAGTTTCATCGTAAAAATGTTGCAAGAAAATAATTATACATAGGGGACAGTAGGAATCGAACCCATGACATTGAGGGCTTTAAGCGATCAACATACCATTGCACCAACGGGCCAATGATACATTGCGCGAAGATATTTTACATTTTGATATTTTCTCTAATAAAGTTCTATTACACACTTGCTCGTGTATTTCGTAAATTTACAATATTTTAACGTTTTTATTGTCTTCCTTGAAAAAGTATATTGATTCCATATAAATGAGCAAGTGTGTAATAGACCTTTATTAGAGAAATATATAAATGTAAATTATCTTTGCACAATGTATCATTGGCCCGTTGGTGCAATGGTATGTTGATCGCTTAAAGCCTTCAATGTCATGGGTTCGATTCTTACTGTCCCCTATCTATAATTATTTTCTTGTAACATTTTTACGATGAAACTTCAAATTGCAAGAAATTTCTGTGTCTCATATGTCTGTTCAAGATAGCTTTGTGGCAACTTCCTCGCTCACAATGCTATCGTCCTGAGTTCAATTCATGGCAGGTCCTTTAGCATAGTATAACTTTTTTATTTTTGTACAGGATTATTAGGAAATGTAAAAATCGAATAGATTCTTTAACAATAAGGGCTTGGTCAAGATGGCCTAGTGGTCTTAGGCACTTGCTAGGTTCCCGAGACGCTGGGTTCGAAACTGTTCAGGGAGTACAAAATGACACTTTACACGAAATTTTTATTTTTGTGTGTTTTTATTCTCATGATTAATGAGTTTCATTGGGATATCACTTTCATTTTGATATATTTTGCTTTTTCAATTGTGTACATTATTATTATAACGAATACATTGTTTAACAAGCAGGGCTTGTTCAAGATGGCCTGGTTGTCTTAGGAACATTATAGGGTCGCGATGCGCTTCGTTCGAAACTGCCAGGGAGTGTTTAATGACACACTTGTATTTTTCATTCACTAGCTTGTTGCTATGGCAATATATTGTAAACAAATAATTGTCATTTTCAAATAACATAATTTTTTAACATAGTTTTTTTCTTTTAATGGATGTTTCACGCATTGAATTTTTAGGTACTTCAAGGAACAAAGTCTCGCTGTTGCCATGGCAACCAAAGTTCACTTTCATATAGGGAATTATATTTATATTGATGTATACTAAAGATATATGTATATAAAGCATATGCTAAAAGTTTCATAAATGTTTCTGTAAAAATGAATAAATTAGAGCAAAAGGAAACGACATTTTAAATACCCCTCGTACATTTAAGATTAGCATGATGCAAATTCTGTACATTTTCACTGGTTAATGCAATAACTTGATTTTCATTAACAATCACTTCGATTTTGAGTTGAACTTTTTTTCTCTTCGACCTTTTCAAAAAATTATAATTTAAACTTTTTTATTGTCCACCTTAAAAAAGTAAAATGATTCCATTCATATGAGAAACAGTGTAGTAGACCTTTCTAAGGGGAAACAATCAAGGTGTAAAATATCTTTGTGCCATGTATATATAATTCTCTTGTTGGCTCAGGGTAAGGAGGGGGGGGGGGGCTTGGATTCTTTTTTTACTTTATTTCGTTTCTTATTTATGTTCTTACTACAACTTTAATATCACATTTTAAGAAACTAAATCTGAACTAAAAATATGAAATTTCAAATGATGAATAAATGGTTTCTGAGGTTTGGTTTTAGCTTTCCGAGTGCACTTATAATCCATTTATCTAAAGCTGTATTATAGTTCGCATTTTCATCAAGTTGGTTTTCGTTGGTTTTTGCAGCTACACATTGGTGCCCAATTGATGTCTTCAGAAGGAAGGGACACGAGGATATGAGATGCCTTAATTGATTGTTCCCAATAGAGGCTTTTCCATATAGCTTTGAAATCTCTAAAGACTAACATTTTCTTCTGTTTGATGGCATATTTGAATTATATGTGTATTTTTCTATCAGCATGGTAAAGAACTCTTTTCATATGTTGTAAAGGGGCATCTGATATAGGAGGGATGTGTACCATGAACAAAATCCTCTTTGTGAACATCTTCTTCATAGCAGCATGGGCTTTCAAAGCCCATGATAGCAGCATTGATTGATGATCCATGGCTTGCAGATCAGAATGATGTAACGCTTGAAAATAGGCATGACATCCAGCAGGGTATCGGTTCTGTTAATGCTGTGGTCAACTTAGGGTAGGTGCTCCATTGGTTCCAGACTGATGTCTTAGACTCTCCATTAATCCTGATACAATGGCACACCCAATTATAGCATGGAATATTGGGAAACACATGGCTTTGAGGAGTCATCACATGTTGGAAAAATGTATCTACTATGACTACTACTTTGACTTTTGATCATTCACTTATTCTCTCCTTTACATATACTATTGTATTTTTCCATTTTTCTTGATTGTGTCCAATGTTTCAATTACACTGCTTGACATTAAAACCTTAGTATCAATCGTCACAGTTCCTTTGGGGTTGCCAAAAGAAGGAAGGGTTCCCTATATCATGGATAAGCTTGGTATGGGAATTTACATCATTTCTGAAGCTGGTCTGGTAGCTCACACTGTGTTCATGGCTTGCAAGGACTTCGTCATCATTATCCTTCATCTCATTTTCAAACTCAACTAACATTCTCGCCATCTCTGGCCCACCAACCATCCACTTCTGTAATGCCATCAGGTTGTCAAACAACTCTACAGATCCTTTCTCACTTTTGATCACACTATTATATTCTTCATGGCATTTCTATTGGCATTGAGAAGCTTCTTCTGGACTTGCTGACAATAAAATGGCTTTCCATGAAAGCATTGTGAACTTCAGAGTGGGTTTCTTTGAGCTGAACCATATCACTAAGGGTCTTAAAAGGTTCCTCTCACAAGAGTTTCATCAACACGTGCACCTGCATCTAATGCAGATATGTTGTTACATTATTAAATGTTCACAAAATGCCTTAAAGGACCAGGATCTGTATTGATTCCCTTCTAGTTCTCAATTACTTCACTTTTCTTGATTTTGATGAAATTGTCGAAATATCAAATAAGTGGCCTAAAATAATGAATTTACATGTTATCACATCACATGTATTTCGCAATGATCTAAGCTAGCTACTATACTAACGAAAATTTGCGAAATTCGACAATAAAGTAAAATATAATAGCAACTTATATCAAAATGAAAGTGATATCCAAATGGAACTCATTAATCATGAGAATAAAAATTTAAAAATACAAATTTCGTGTTAAAGTGTTATTTAGTACTCCCTGGACAGTTTCGAACCCATCGTCTCGGGAACCTAGCAAGTGCCTAAGACCACTAGGCCATCTTGACCAAGCCCTTATTGTTAAAGAATCTATTCGATTTTTACATTTTTCATAGTCCTGGACTATGATACAATAAGGACTAATAAGGACTATGATAGGGTCAATATTTGAGCAATTAAAGCCTAAATTGTCATTAATCACGAAGATTGTTTTTTAATCGTCGTAAATTCCTTTCTAAATCTCAGTGATATATGGTTGGTGGAAAACAAGTTGAATGAGTGCAAAAAACATCGAAAATGTACTGAATTTCCATTTTGTCTATCATATATGTATACTATTATAATTTGCGTTTTGTGCAAAATAAACACCTGATTTCTAACGAATTTTTGCCCGAGGTTGAACATTTATGACTATGATAGGGCCAATATTCGAGCAATTAGAGCCTAAATTATCACTATTCGTGTGGGCTGTTCTTTTGTCATTAATTCCCTTCTAGTTCTCAATTCGCTTTTCTTGATTTTGATGAAATTGTCGAAATATCAAATTAGTGGCCTAAAATAATTAATTCATATGTTATCACATCACATCTATTTCGCAATGATCTAAGCTAGTATACCAACGAAAATTTGCGGAATTCGACAATAAAGTAAAATATAATAGTAACTTATATCAAAATGAAAGTGATATCCAAATGAAACTCATTAATCATGAGAATAAAAATATAAAAATACTAATTTCGTGTAAAGTGTCATTTAGTGCTCCCTGAACAGTTTCGAACCCATCGTCTCGGGAACCTAGCAAGTACCTAAAATATAATAGCAACGTATAATAGACAATAGATAGATGGCGTATGTCATGGTTGACAAGTTTCAAATGCTCCGGTAAATAACCGGAATTTTGTCTTTTTGTCTTGGAATATATCATATTAAAGTTCACCAAATGGATAATGAATGTGCCAGTGATACAAAGGACATAATTGGAGAGAAATGTGACACATATGAGGACCGTATACGACAGGAGAAAAAACGACAACGTTTATCATCAGGGGATATCAAAATGGCGTCAGCTAGTAAACCGTTGGACTTGTCGGATCTGATGAATGAAATCAGAGGTGTAAAATCGTCAATTATGAAAGGACAGGCTAACATGGAACGTAAGATGGATGAAATGAAAACGGATTTGTCAAAGAAAATCGAGACCAGAATAAAACAGGTAAAGGATGAACTTTTTCTAGAAATGAGTGCCATGGAAACTAAGCTTAGTGCGCTTGAAATAAAGGTAAATTCCAACATGGCAGGGCAAGGTGTCACTGGAAATCAGCCAGCCCGAAATACCCCAAGCTGTATTGTAATATTTCGAAATGCTAAGCTCGTAACGACCAATGAGGATACGATGCGAGGATTACTGTCAAGTATCTGTACTGCGATAGGCTGTGCTGATACCGAATTTACGGGCGTCACATGGATTGCATTACCAAGGGGTCAAAACAACGGCATTATAAAGGCGACTGTCGCAACCGAGGCTCAAGTGAAAGCTCTTTTCAAAGCAAAATCTAAGCTCAAGGATACCCCCCAGTACGCTTCCATATATATTGAACGCGATCGATCCAGGCATGAGAGGATTATGGAAGCCAATATGCGTAACCTGGCTAAGGCTGTGCCCAACCTCACCTTCACCAGGGGTCGACTTACCGTTAACGCCCAACCAGTTACCGCTGATCCCCCTGTAGTCCAAGCTCCTCCAAATGGTACCAATGTTAATACCCCACCGCAACCAGATCCTCCCCCCGATAATGCGTAGAACACCCAGCCTATTACTATAGGGCATTGGAATATTAATGGGTGGCCTACCAAAAAGATCTCAAATGTGCGTTCACAAATAATTGATCATGTGGATATGGATATACTAGCATTAAGTGAAACATACCTGAAAAATGTCGATGTAATTGATATAAATAAATATTCATGGTTTGGTCAAAATAGAGTTAATATATCAACCAGAGCTAAATGTGGTTCTGGTGGAGTAGGTTTTCTTATTAAGGATACACTGTTGGATATATATGATGTTCAACGAATCGATTCAACATTTGAAGGAATATTATGGATCAAACTTGTCAACAAAAATGATGATGATTACTCAATTATTTTATGCGTATGTTATCTTCCCCCTGAACAATCGTGTAGGGGTAACTCTGCGCAGGAATTTTATGATGCATTATTGACACAATTGTATATGTTTTCTGATAATTCTACGCCACTTGTCATCTGTGGAGACTTCAATTCAAGAATAGCGAATAAAGATGATTTTAACTCAAATATTGACATTTTACCTGAACGTACTTCGATTGATACTAAATCCAACAAATTCGGAGATTATCTGTTGGACTTTCTTAAAGATGGATGTCAGTGTATTATCAATGGTAGGGTTACTCATGAACACGATAATTATACATATATATCAACCATTGGATCATCAGTTGTTGATTACATAATTACACCATACTATATGTTGGATTATATCAAACAATGTGGAGTTAAGGCAATCTCAGTCATCAAAAATGACGCAAATATTCGTGACAATACAAAACTTGATCATTCTATTGTCTGGTGCGAAATTGAAATAATAACGCCAACAAATGTGCATCGAGCCCAAAACAGCAATTTTGCCACTACTCAGACGAAAACTTATAATGATCCTGTTAACAGGAAATACGACAGAACAATTCCCATAGATATGTTTACTAGCGAAGGAGTTGCTCGGTCAATTGCCCGTGTCTGTGATCGCATGGAGACATCTCTTAAATGCCAAAGTGAAATTGACAATATTTATGAAGAATTTGTTTCAATTTTACATACAGAAATGGACTCTAAATTAAAATTTAAAGACATTAAAACAAGCACGACTAGGAAATCTAAGTTCCGGCCAAAGCCCTGGTGGAATGAAGAACTTGAATCACTCTGGAAGGACGCTTGTATGCATGAAAAGCAATACATCAAGCATAAAGGTTCCAATCGTGAAAAAACACACATACGAGATATATTTAAAAGCAAACAAAAACTGTTTGACAAGAAGTATAGACAGTATAAACGTAAATATGACTACGAAACACGAAATAACATACAGAAATTTGAAACTAGTAACCCCAAAACAATGTGGATGGTGAAAAGATCAGTGATGTAGACCAGGTTCTCAATAAATGGAAATCTGACTTCGAATCCCTTTTTAACAAAAACAATGGTGACTATGATGACATGTTCTTAAACGAATGCATGGACTTAGTTAACCGCTGGGAAGAGCAACTTAACTCGATAAACGCAGATACACGTTCTGATAATGAAGTTAATGATCAGGCTATTAACCATGGCGACTTAAACAACCCAATCTCTTTAGAAGAAGTGCAACATGCAATTCAAGGTCTTAAAGTTAATAAAGCCACAGGTATTGAAAATATTCCCAATGAAGTGCTGAAATGTAATGCTTTATTAAATGTGATTCACAAGCTACTACAAATGTGTTTTGAATACAGTATTATGCCAACCTGTTGGTCGAAATCTATAATTAACCCCATCCCTAAGTCTGAGAAAAAGACCCCAGGGTGCCCCTAAACAACAGGGGATCAGTCTCATGTCAACAGTGTGTAAAATTTTATCGTCCGTCCTGAACACACGACTGCACACATTCCTAGACGCAAATAATATACTGCACGATGAGCAGAATGGATTTAGGAAATTTCGTGCATGCATTGATCATTTGTACGCCCTTACAACAATATTACGTCATAGGTTGAGACTTAAGGAGGACACTTTTGCCTGTTTCGTGGATTTTTCTAAATGTTTTGATTCAATTAATCACGACTGTCTATGGTATAAGCTACTTGAAAACAACATACACGGTAAGATGTACTTAGCCATTCGATCTCTGTACACGCAAATTCTTTAGTGCCGTAAGACTTAATGGGAACTTAACTGACTGGTTTACCGCAGAGCTTGGATGCAAACAGGGGGACCAAATTTCTCCGACACTCTGGTCCATCTTTGTGAATGACTTAGTCACGTCAATAAAAGGTCTTAATAATGGAATTAGGATTAACGACGAATATATCTCAACTCTGCTTTATGCGGACGACATGGTGTTCATTGCGTCAACGGAACAGGATTTACAATTAATGTTAGATACAATGTACGTATGGACAACGAAATGGCGTCTATCTGTAAATACAGAGAAAACCCAAGTAACACATTTCAGACGGGCTGCACGGCCAAAAACTGATTTTAATTTCACGTTTGGAAATTCTAATTTAGTGATAACAAAATCGTATCGTTATCTCGGTCTTATCTTAAACGAGACACTGGATTACACCGAAACTGCAACAACATTAGCTGAATCCAGTGGTCGTGCACTTGGTGGACTTATCAGCAAACATTTTTCCATAAATGGATTAAACTTTAGCACATATACTAAGATATACGACAGTGCTATTGCCCCGATCATGGACTATGGGTCAGGAGTTTGGGGATATAAGGAATTAAGCAAACCACAGCTAGTACAAAATCGAGCAATGAGAACATTTCTTGGCCTGGGTAAATACGCTCCCCTTCCAGCAATTTACGGTGACATGGGATGGATACCGCCTAACATCAGACACCGATTGGAGATGGTGAGACTCTTTATTAGACTAAGCAAAATGCCTAGAGATAGGCTGACTAGAAGAATTTTCGACTTTGATTATGAAAATGCTATCTTAGGACACAAATGTTGGTGCAAGGATGTAAGGGAAATATTTATATCTGCTAATTTACAACGTGAATATGAAACGAGACACTTTGGAGATAGTTCACTCATCCTCGATTCTGTTAAAACAGCGGAACTGCAACGATACATCGAAGAATGGAAACTTAAGATTGCCAATATGCCAAAACTAAGGACTTATAGGACATTTAAAACAACATTTGAAACAGAAGACTATGTCAAGATCTGTTTACCAAGGACATTCAGATCATTGCTTGCAAAAGCAAGATCAATCACATTACCATTAATGCTGGAGACTGGAAGATATAGATCCACCCCAGTTGACCAGAGACTTTGCTTACATTGTAAGAACGATAATATATCCATTATTGAGGACGAGTTCCACTTTTTACTAGTATGCCCATCATATAAAAATCTACGAGAAGACTTATTTTTGTCTGTTAAACGTATTTTACAAAAACAAGAACTTATTATTGATGATGAACTTTTGAAACTGTTATTACATGACTTTAGATTAGTGCGCCATACTGGAAAATTCCTGAATGCTGCTCTTATCAAAAGAGCAAGTGTGACGATCCTTCAGATTACTTTGAGCATGGTAATGGAATTGCCTTGAAGGATTGTCACTTTGTTTTCAACTTTTTGCTCTTCACTTTATCAATTGTGTTTTTAGTTACTCAATATTTCAAGAGTTATAAAATAATTTAAATTCTGTAAAAGGGTAGTCTGTATAACTACTTTGGCTATACTCTTAAAGTATGGTAAAAGTTTAATCATTATACTCTATATTCATATTTAGGTTAATAACCTTCTCCTGTGTTTTTCATGTAATATTATTTACAGGTTAAATTCCCAATAATGCCAAATACGAAAAATAGACGCAAAAAACTACAAGTAGTTGGTCAAAATAGTTTATTGTACCTAACTAAACTAAAACAATAAACTATAGCATTAGCTAAAAATAGTACATGTTTAGTGCTTGGCTGCAGTAGCTGAAGTGATTAGATGATCTAGACATAATTAAAAGTTCATGACCTTTGCATGAACTGCAGAACCAGATGGCAACCTCTATAATTTAAATCTATTTCAACTGAAATTAAACATTAATGTCAACATATATATTTTGTTCATAATAAGAGTTTAATGTGAAGGTTTTCGGCCCAGTTTCATGTTTAATGCTACGTTACAAACTTTTTAGAAAGGGCAGTTGTCTGGGTTTGTCTACAAAATCCAAAGTGAGGCTTATTAAGCTTGATTTAAGTAAATAAGCACGATTTAAGTGAATTGTCTTTTTCTGTGCTTTTATGATTCGAATTCAAGCCGGCCAGACATGGAAAACATTTTGTGGAATTTTAAACATTAAATCGTCACTAAAATTGGATATTTATATTGCCGCAGATAAACCAACTTAGGTGTACGAGTTGGTAAAGGTAATTGACTTGATCTAATTGTATTTTTGCAGAGTTTTAGTCTTTGAAAAGAAGTATCTGTACACTTGACTTTTTCCTTAATTTTATTTATTTGCCTTGTGAACATCCCATGTTTAAATTGTCCCAGGGATTGTTAAGGAACATTTGACAAGGTTAACGCAAGGTTACACGCAGAGTTTTTGTCTTAAAGAACCTATGTAACTTATTAACCAGCGTCGAAAGCAAGTTCCCGGGGTTCCTTGAAACCTCTTATTCAACATCCCCACAGGGAATCGTTTAGGAATATTTGACAAGGTGTACGAAAAGTTACGGTCTTTATGAACCTTATGTAACTTGCTCTAAACCAGAGTCAACTGCAAATTCCAGGGGTTCATAGACACCTCTATACGACATTCCCCCCCATCCAGTTTGGGACTGTATTTAGTTTGTTCACAGGGTAAATTTTATTGATACACTAGAAATACTCCTTTGTATATTTGTATGTTAAATTCTGGGTAATTTAAAGGTGAAATCCCGGGCTTATGGGACCATTATCAAACAACTGATCATTGAAGTACTTTTAAGGATCACGGTCTTTCGAAGCCCATTTTCGGACTTAAGACACCCCCTCCCCTTCTAGTT